CAATCCCATAACCAATTGAACAATAATATATTATTTATTAAATTATTAAAGTACATATTATCTTACAAGAAAGAACCAAGAACTGAACTGTATGACCCTTCATCAACTGTGTATACTATTTAACAATTATTATTGTTGATAAGTCTCTAATTAAAGACGAGTAATTATTCAACACTGCAATGGTTTCATAGAACATTTTACATACATTTTAACTGGATCATACTAAACAGTATTTTTTACATTAATAACAAGATTTATTTTTTGATAAATTATTTCTAGCCCCACTAGTTTTAATAAATAAAAATKTATGACTTAATACRATTTTTTAATATAATAATCATTTAAAACCCATAAAAACAAATTATTGCTAGGTYTTTTCTCAATTCAATGTAAATAGTAAATACGGGTGTAAATATGAATAAAAGTTTAAATTAGGTAGATCGATTCCTTTTCATTCATTTAGATATGCATTGTATCCATCATTATATTGCAGTTTTTACTGTTTTTAGTTATTMATTTTACTAATATATAATAATTAAAGTAGCGACAAATTTAGTGATTATAGGTATCTAAAATAAACTATTGGACAAGTGATGTGAGGTGATAGAATGTCTTATTGATCATTTTTCATTTTTTTTTTCAGTTATTAGACTAAGATAAAAATTTAAATATTTGCTGTAGAATGAAAATTATTATTATTACAATTTTAAATTATTAATACCTAAGAAAAACAAMGAATGCCATACATTTATAATTTCTTTAATCTATCATTTTTTCTAGTAGGTACCTATTCCTATGCAATAAAACAATGTATTATTTATCCTGCAAGTAACCTACCTACTTGGTAGTTATCTTATCAATTATCATTATAATAACATAATATACGATGTTCGAGTTGTTGATGGTTAACATATTTTGGGGAAGCTATACTGGAAATCACTAAGAAATTAATAAGAAATCTATAAAATAATGAATAAAACACAGTTTAAAGCAGTAAATTGATACGTAGAAAATATATCAGTAGAGAGAGCGTTCGTTCATAAACCTTCGCAAAACATTGTTGCAATGAAACGTAACCAAGTGAAAATGACAATTGACATGTCWATARGTAGGAASAATACATGGACCCCAAGAATAAAATAAAGGTGATRTCGATAATAATTACGTTGTGTTTGATCGCCGGACGAGTAGTACTCGCGTATCGGCAATAACGCTGTGGCAGATTTGAGCAGGAATAAACCGAAAATCAGTTGGATGGCGGCGGTCATCGTCGCGAAGTTGAAAACTCGAATGGGACGCCAGAAAATCACTCTGAGGACGAACGACGACGAGTAACTCACGAATGACGAAATCAAATGTTGTCGAGTACTCACACTCGCGACGGTCAACTCGTCTTCAAAATATGATATAATTGGTTCACAATGAACACGGAATGCAAGATGCAACAATGTGCATGCCAAACAAAACCAGAAGCGAATATCCCTACACAGTGCAGAGCAACTTTACTGCAACAATAACTACTACTATTGTAGTGTTATTACCATTACAGTACTACCAAACACCGGCTTATCTCCTATTGTAATCGGAATTCGGAGGACAAAGATCGAATCACCCCCACTTACCCGGCTGCCAGAACCTCAMCGAACATAATATTATAACTATTACTATAGGCCCAACACTACAACTGCACAACTGCAGCTGCAGTCTGAGCTGCTGCTCACAAGTCACGATGTTGCTGCCGTTCAATTCTCGAATGTTGTTACAACACAAATAAGTGTGTTGGTACTCGGTATTATTATTATTATTATTATTATTATTAGGTATAACATTCAAATCAAACATTGTATCGTTCTGACAGTGACTTGGGCTGTAAAAAAAATGTGCGCGTGTGTACGTGTGKAACTATGTCTGATAGTAATGTGGTGTAGCAGATGTCCCCACATACATAGAATATAGAATAGGCTAAATATTTTTCATATTTCATAATTTAGGCTGTATGTGCATACTGCATTGTGTGTGCGTTAAGTGTTCTGAGTTTCCGAGTATACCTAACGCGAGTTTCAATCTTTTTAAAACTATATTCAATCGAATCGCGGAAAAAAAAGCCCAGAAAAAAACCTAACGGAAAAAAAGCCCAAAAAAATAAACACACCAAGGAAAAAAAGTATAACAAATATAGGCAATTTTATATACGGATACTCAATACAAAAATA